TTTTCGTTATTTGCCCTTTACTTTCCCTTTATTTGCGTTTTATTTTGTTTTATTTGCCGCTATTTTTACTTATTTGCCCGTTACTTTCCTTCTGTGCCTTATGTTTTTTCTTTTCTTGCTCGCCACTTATTTTTCTCCCTTTTTGTCCCTTAGTTTTCCTTATTTGCCCTTAATTTGTCCTTATTCGCCCTTCATTCTTTGTTATTTGCTGTTCCGTTATTTGCCTTTTATTTCATCATTTTTGCCCTTTGTTTCCTTTATTTGCCATTTGTTTTTCCTTATTGGCCTTTTCTCTTATTTTTTTCGTTCTTTGCCCTTTATTTTTCTTTAATGACCCTTTATTTTCCTTTATTTGCCTCTATTTTCCTTGTTTGCCTTTGCCTCTTGTTTTTCTTTCTGTTTCTTTGCCCCATATATTTCCTTAATTGCCTTTTATTTTATTTCTTGCTTCTTGTTTTGCTGTGTATGTCTTTTATCTTATTTGCTCCTCATTTTCCCTTATTTGTCCTTTGTTTTCCCTAATTTGCCTTTTATCTTACTTGCAAGTAGATGCGACAAACAGCACAGGGGCAAGCCCACCCAAGAGTAGAGCCACCACAGCCTTGAAAGCTTAATCACCTGAGCAATACGATGCTTGAAGTGAGCCAAAGCTTTCCTGCCGCGTCCAGGCTCACCACACCGCCGTTTAGGCGCGCTTCTCTTTCATGTTGAGCCCGGCAGCTGCAGGAGTATTTGCTGTTCAACCCAGACAGCCCTACAGGCTGGGTATGCTCTCGGCTGCGCAGCGGTGTGCATAATTAGCGTGGCAAGTCAGGGCATTACAAGCTCGACTTGGGCAACCCGGCTGCCGCCTACGTGGCGCAGGCGCAAGCCGCAGACGCACCGATAAGGCACGACGGAGAATTCAGCTTCCAGGCACTGGCGCTGCTGGACCGATGGGAATCAGGTTGGGGAAACTGCCATGACCTTAGGTAGTCACCGTAGTAGGAATGCTCTTCTGGTCAGAGGCATCGCCAAGCGAAAGGAGTTGATCCGATCTCAAAGATGTGTGTGCTTTTGATCGGGGTGCAAGTACACGGTACATATGGACCGTACTTTTGCTAGGCCGGACATCTCCGAGGATGGCGATTACTCGTGCGTGAGGAACTGCAGGTAGGTCGCGGCATCTTGGGCCGCCTTTTGGAGTGATGAAGAGTTCAAGAGAGGTACGCTCACCAATCTCTTCGCTCGTTGGGCTTGCAAAGCTGCGAGCTTCACTGCTCGTCACTTCACATTCCCTTTGCCATCCTTGGTGATGCTCCCTCCCCCCCGCTTCAGGCTTTGACGAATGGGTTCTTCCGGAAAAGGAGGCTCTGCTGGCAGCTGAAGACATTTCGGAGCCGATTTCGGTTCGCTCGCAGATTTTAGAGCTGGACTATGTTACACATCTGCGACCTGATTGTCACGGCGAAGTCCGGGCCTTGGCCAGGTTTCTTGAGGGCTTCGTTTTCTCCTTCGTTGTCGCTGCGCAGGTGATGACCGCAGCAACTTTCACGCGATTCCTGGTGCAAGCCTGAGCTCCTTCGTCGGCCTTTTGAGTGCTGACTCCTGCCTTCCAAGACGATCCTCCAGCAAGCGGAGTGCGATGGCCCCACGCAAATCAAGGCTCGCTATATACATACTGTAATATGCCTTGAGCGGATAGCTTCATACTTTCAGCGATGCATGTCACATACATCGCCGAGGTGACAAGAAACCTGGCTCACTACATCAATTTGACGAGCGGGCTCCTCAGATGATCGGATCATCTCGGATCGTTCCATCGCTCTGCACCACAGGCGTCCAAATGCGACAACTACTGGGCGTTTACCGCACATCTGAGCTGCGTGAGGAAGCTTTGGCAAGGCTCTCAGAGACAGCGCGCGCCGGAGAACACTGCGCACGCCCGGACCCGCCTGGCTCTGAAGGTAACGACGTTTTTTCGGATCGTCGACATTCACCATGAGAAGGCGAAGCGCAGCAAGTTTTGCCGAACTTCCAGCGATCCTTGCTTGCGCGACCCGGAGGTTTTCCGGGTCCGCTACGAAGAACAGGCCGAGCCAAGAGCCCAGCATTTGGGGAGAGGAGCCCGGCACGCGCTCTTGAGCAAAAGACCACACAATTCAGATATCATCGCTGGGTGATTCGCTGACGAAAAGATGGGCTTTGACTCAGGCTGGACAGCTTGCGCCAGCGGCTGGGCTACTGCACCTTCTTCACGTGCTCGAACATGCATTCATCCGAAAGCCCTTGCTTTCCCCGAGCGAGCCCGAGAAGACGAATTTGGGGAGAGGATTTGCGTAACATAACCCGCAGACGACATGTGTTACGGTAGCACTCCGCTGGGAACCCACTTCCTACGAAAAGATTGCGGACAGTTTCGCACGCTTCTGAGTGCAGTGGGCAGGTACATTCAGCCGGAGCAGGCACCAGCTAGGGCAGGCCTCTCCTTGAGTTGAGTTCTGCGGGGAGAGCAAGAGGTCACCTACGATTTCGACTTCGCGAAGTACGACCAGCGCCTCGCAGCGAACCTTTTCTTTGGCTCCTCGGTGCTTCACAGTCCTCCTGCATACACGACATGAGGCACATGAATGATTCACCTGCAGAGCATACTTACAGATCCCCGCCAATCCGCGCAACCTTACTGACTATCTGCGGTCGAGAGCCAGCAGAGCTCAGCTGATACGGCACGACCAGGAAACACAGCAAACAGCCGACTTCCGATGCGGCCACCCATCGTTTTCAACAGGCAACAATGACTCCGTGCAGCCGCATGTGGAGGCTAGTCAAGTCCTGAGGGTCACAGCACCGAGTATCGGCTGCCAGAAGTGACAGCGGCAGCAACTGGTTGCTAAGACGAGCCGAGCAAGCGAGAATCAGTCAGGAAATCGAACATCACTATCAGCAGCTGCATCGAGCTAGGATTTGCATGCATCATCAATATATGCGGCCACGGGTTCGCTTGCAACCCGAAAGGGTCATCAGCAGCAAAGCGGTTTGCTTCCCAGCCAGGAGGCGAGCATCACCGAAGACAACAACACGGGGCACAAGCCGGCCTAAATCATTTTGCCAATAAGCTGCAATGGTAACAAAGTGCTCGTCCCGCCGAAACGAAGCGGATGTTTCTCGTGATGCCTTCCTCTCGTTAACCCGTCAAGCCACCGGCTGAAGCGCTGATACTATCGCGTCGACGTTGTGCTGATGATGCTTTGCTTACGCCCGTGGCCTCACAGTTCTGAGCATGGACACCACCTCATTATCGCAGGCTCGCGCAGCCACAGCCGACAGCATTGGAGCTGAAGCCACCATTCAGAAAATGGGTTTTCGCCTCCCAAGTAACCCAAGTAGATATCTCGGCTCGGTCGCATTGCCTTAAACCAATCCTGGAAATCACAGCATGGCCAACCAGCCGTCTTCAAAATTACTAGCCTGGAGTGTGGTCGTTGCTTTCTCCATCTTTCTCCCAACTTGCTGCGGAGAATGCAGCGGAGCCCAGTGCACTCAACCTTGCCCTTTGAATTTGTTTTCCTGCTCCCTCCTATGTCTTGTAGCCACCCAAAGCTCAGTCAACTAGCGAACAGGCTTGAATGGTGCTTTGACCGCTTGAAGCAGAGGTTTGGCAAATGCAGAAAAGCGGGACAACATCTCGGCCGAGAGCTGATGAGCGGATGCTGTACTCGTGCCTCTAAAGAAAACCCTTGAAGCCGAAGCTGGCAGAACTTCCGCTACACACTTCCGGACGGCACGATCGACAAGCTGGAGCAAGGCGTTCCGCGCAGCCGGGAGCTAAGCGAACTAAGACAGCTCCTCGATCGTATCCTGCCTCATCTGTGCCAGAGGCTGGGATCAGTTTGCGCGGATGCCCAAGGACCATTTCTCCCAACTCTGTGCCAGACATGCTTTCTGTTTCCGGGTTCCACAGGAGGGCGTCTTCCATTTCACCTACAAGTGTTCTCCACAGGAGCAGCTGGAGGGTTTTTGCCTGTGCAGCTCACGGCTTCTTGTGCATTTGCCGGATTATAGTTTGCCAGCCAGTCCGGGATGTTCGAGACAGAGTGCACGAACCATTTGCGTTTCGCTCGTGGCATGGTTGAAAGTTAAACTAGGGACAACGAAGTCAACCATGAAGAGCCCACAGTGGCACGTCGTGTCCGCGCGCTCGTGGTGCACAGTCAGGATCCCGTCCCACCAGGCTCTTAGTTCTGCCTCAATCGCTGGAGCCCCGCAGTCTTGCGAATCGTGCTCGCCCGAGAACATAACATTTCTGCAGTGAGGTTGGTTCGGTTTTGCTCAGTTCCCACAGCACCCTTTGGTTCTTCAAGCATGTTGCAGGATTGTCGGTTTTCCCTCAGAAAATCCTTGCTCTTCCAGTTCGGGAAGTGGAAGGTCCACGGCACAGTCTTGGCTGCGCAGTCCAAGTGCACGCGTTTGTAGGTGGACGTCGCAGAGGATGAGGTGAATTGGTGGGCGGCTGCTGCAGAGGTTGGCTCGTCAAGAAAACACTCGTTGGCCGTGTTCGTGCAAATTGTGAGGCACCAGAAGATGTGCTGGAGTTCCTGTTCTGGATGCGCTCACGATTCCGAGACACCCAGAAGGCCATGCATGAGATCGGTGCACCAGAACGGGCAGTGGCAGAGGATCGAGCAAGAAGTGTGTTACAGGCTTTTGAAGCCTTCGACGGTGCTGACGGGAACGGCCTCCTCGGGCTGCGGGAGTTTGAGGAGTCCCGGTCCGTTCCGCGTGTGCGGGGATCTGCTGCTCTGCTCACTCTGCTTTGTGCGAGGAAGGGATGAAACAGTTGCGGGATGCTCTGAGACCCGAGCGACGGCAGTGCAAGATGTGGTCTGGGACTGAACCCTTAGTCCGAGGAAGTGCCAAAAGTTCCGTGGCCGTGATGAAAAGCAGCGCTGGACGGCGGGAGTGCACGAAGTGCATCGGCCTAGTGGTGCCTTCTGCTCTCTGGAAGGCGATCTTCCGGTTTCTGGATCCGAGCGGCGAGGGGCAGGTTCCATCATGGGCGGTGAGAGCAGCCGAAAGCGCGGTCTTCGGGGGCCGAGGTGTCCAAGGAGGAGTTCTTGACTTTGGACAGCTTCTGGGCCGAGGCCGGGCGGCGCGCTGGCGACACGAGTGTTGAGAACCACCTGCAAGTGCCGGTACCGTAGAGTCGTAGACGAGTCGTAGAGCGGTGTCGGCCGAATGAGGTGGAGTTCTCCATCAGAGAGTTCCTCGATTGGTCGAATCGGAAGTGGGCATCTCAGTGGTCTCAGTGGACACTGCAGAGTGGCGGGCAGCCTTCTGCAGGTATGGCAGGGACCTGAAGACCCTCTGGAACGCCCGGCCCTTGTAGTCTCACTGTAGTCTTCGACATGGTGGCCACCGGGCCGGTCAAAGGCTCTGGATGAAGATGGGAGTGGTGCCATCCAGCGCTTCGAATGGGAATCTGTTCTGGACAAGGCCAAAACTAAGCGCTTGCGGCTTTTCCTCAAGGCTGCCACAGAGAGCGTGAGGTTGGATACTTCGGGCCGTCCGGGCCCATCTTCAGCTATGTCGACGAGGCGGCCGCGCGGGCGCAGGGGGGAAGATGTGCAGTTGACTTCAGAAATGACTCGCATGCGACTCGGGCGTCCCGTGCGGAACAGACTTGACTCAGCATCTGAAGACGTAGTGTAGGTTAGCCTGTGCCATGTGTCTTCGCTCCGAGCTTGGGAGGATGTAGCGTAGCCTTGCGAGGACGATGGGGGGGAGATCTCCTGGAAGGAGTTGAGGGCTTGGTCGGCTTGACGGAAGCAGCCTTTGCTGCCGAGAGGCGGCAAAAAACAAACGCGTCTCGTCGGACTGAGGTTCCAGCTGCTCGGACGATTTCAAGACGCACCGTCGGCACCGTGCTCCTGAAAGCATTGCATAATTGCATTGGCCTAATGGCCTAATGTCGGCTTTTTTTACATTGTGGCAAAAAGCTCGCCGAAGCTTTGCCAGCATTTTGCGGGCCGTGCCTGCCTTAGCTCATGAGCCTTCACCTTCCGTAAGGAAGAGTTTGTGCGTACTCCAAGAGTTGGTGCGTTCGAGACCGAATCGGAGGAGGAGAAGCTGCGATTACCCCGCAATCCGTGGTGCGAGGAACTTCAGATCCTAGTCATGCAAAGTCTACAGTTTCGCTCCAGAGTCTCTCGCTCCAGCTGAGGGTGCAGCACAGCCTTTGAAGGCCAAGAGCCCGACCCATAATGAAGCATCCGTAGTCGGAAAAGAACTGTGGCCACAGAGCCATGTTGCATGCTGTAGCGTGATTTGTGCAGTTCGAGGGCTGTCCGTTATCGCACAGGCATGCTTGGCTCAACTTGTTTCCAGCTGTAGGTCGAAGACAACGGTTTGCTCTCTGTGCCGTGCTTGCTTGTGCAGAACACGTCCTCGAGCTGCACAAGCTGAAGCATGCCGAGGTCATGCCTCTGAAGCACCAATCAGAGTCGCCTGCTAAGTGCAGGCGCCAGTGGGACACGCATGAATGCAGCCTGTAAGCTCCGAACAGGCGGTAGCCTGGAGAGCCTAGAAGAGATATCGAACTGTTGAAGTTACGAGAGCAGCTCCACAACGACGAAACACATGGCTTCCGCGTGCTTCAAGAGAAGAAAAATCCGGTGGTGGTGAAGGACGCGCCAAGAAACAAGTCTCCAAGAGGATCTCTTTATAGCTTTATGTGGTTGCATCAGCGGTGGCTGCTTTGCTGCTGTTGAAGCAGATGCAGAGCTTCGAGGGAGCTTGCTGACAGCAAGCTGAATCCCAGACAAATCCACATCCACATGAGGCAGGCTTTCAAAGCGAAGAAGGGTAGGGAAGTCGTCGCGGCTCAGCTTGTCTTTGCACCGCCATGATGGTCAGACAGAGGCGAGTTGCATGTGGATTGTTGGCTCGAGCATGCGAAGCTTGAGGCCATGGCGAATGCTTCACTTCATCTGCAGATCCCTGAGATTGGCTACAATAACTGGACGATGGCACCTTCAACGACAGCTACCTGCTCCCACCAGCGATGCACCATGCCAGGGCAAGGTATTCACAGCCAAGACGGTCATGACGATTTCTATGACAACCTCCACGCGGCAGAAGTTCCTGGGCAGCCCAAACGAAGTCAACACAGACAGCAACAGATCTCATCATGGTCCATGAGTTTGTACAAGCTTCGTGTCCAACCTTTGATTTGTCCATTGAAGCCACCGTCGAAGAGGAGGACGCCAATTCGTCGGCGGGTGAGCTGTAATGCTCAGATCTCAGATTTGCTGTGATTGGGAGCATCACAGAGACGCTCTGGGGAACGATCTGCTTCTGTGGCTGCGACCGTCAAATAACCCAAAGCTCGTTGCCTTGACAAGCGCTTTGTGGCCGAGCTATCAGCAGGACATCACAGATATCTGCACTCCCAAACTCAGCATGCCGCTCAAGACGAAATCCGAGATCTGAGCATGCGAATGGTTCTGATCTCCCATGATGGGATACAAATCAACGAATCCATGCTAATTATGTGCCTGGGCATTGTAAGTGCACAGTAGTTGCCTCCAATTTTCCACGACATGCCTAACACTCCAAGCTTCCTTTAGAGCAGGGATGCTGTACAGAGAATCCTGAAGCCTTCCTGTTTCTGCTCAGACATGCCTGACAGTAAGATGTAGCATGTTACTGGCCTACACTGGGCCTTCTCCTGTCAGAGTACCTTAAAGGTGCGGCAGAAAAGCACGGAGGCATGAACCCCAAGATGACGACAGCCCATCTTGCCTTATTCCGCGAATTGAGAGGAACCTGCTCGACAACATAGAACATTTTGAAACAGCTGAGTGAGGCTGCTAAACAGCGGTACGCCCTCTTAGGCCTTGTTGTGTACATGTAGTCACACCGGCTGATACTGTGGGCGCTTACTTTCTGATTTATGTTATTCTCTTTTTGTGCTAGCTACCTGGCTCGGTGTGCCACATGTACAAGTAGCAAGCTCAAACCGAACCTACCATGCCTGCTTTGAGCGATTGTGTGTGAGTCGAATCAACGAATCCATGCAGATCCGCTCTCGAAGCGCCTTGGCCTTACTTTACTTGTTTTGGACTCGGGCTGACTTCTGAGCTGCGGGGTCTTGTTGTTCCGTGCAGGGGCACTTGAAACCGTGAGGGGTGGTAACAAAGCTGTTGAGACTCACGGTTTCTGCGTACGGATTCGAGCTTCGGAGCTCGCTGCAGGCCACAGCCGTTGGCTCAGACGTTGCCGCAATGGCGCGCCTCAAGCTCCTGCTCCTTCAGGCCAGAGGGCCTGGAGGGCGAGACCGGCTGTAGGCCACTATATAGGCTACTATAGGCCTCCGGTCTTCAGGTCTTGCAGAGCCTGAGGTGAGCGCTTGTCTGGGCACGATGGAAGAGAGGAGTTACGAGCACTTCGGGCTCTTGAACCAACTCCGGGCCGTGCCTTGGCCGCGTCGCTGCGGCCCCGCCGTTCTGCCAAAAGTTGAGTCCTCTAAGCGTCGAGTCTGCTTGAGGCTGGCTTCACCTGTCCGGGTGGGAACTCGTATGCCCCGAATGATGTCCCTCTCAAGTTTGACTGCCGCTTGTGGGCCGCCGCGCAGCTCCACTCTCAGGCACAGCGATCCCGAGTTGTGTAGTGGCTCGGCGAGTGTATAGTGCGTGGAAGGACATGGCAGACAATGGGTACTTCTCCCACACGAGCCAAGATGGTAGAAGCCCATGGGACAGAGCTGAAGCTCAGGGCATCAGACCCTTGGGATATCAAGACCAGTAAGACAAAAACCCCTAGAGATCGTCGCGAGTATCCGGATTTGTCAAGGAGCCAACGGTGAAAACATTGCTGCGGGGCGCAGTGGTGCTGAAGCGGTGTTGGAACAATGGAAAAACTCGGATGGGCATTGCGACCAGGCCGCACGGAAAGGGTCAAGTCTTGTTGACATGGTCGGAGTACCGGAGTACCAGTCCCCACCAAGGCAAGAACATGATGAATCCGGGCTTTCGCGTCTTTGCAGTAGGCCATCTGGCCATATCTGATGGGAAGTGCATAGGAAGCGAGTGGACTCAGTGCAGTGCCAGGCTATGCCTACAACTCCGGTTCCAGATACAGGCACTACTGGACCCAAATGTTCAAGAGCTCGGACGTGTCCGATCTGGACACTTCGTGCTACATACCTGAAGCTACTACTAGCAGCACAAGCACCACTACCACCACCACAACCACTACGACCACCACCACTACCACCACTACCACCACCACCAGCACCACCGTCAGCACTGCGGCCACAAGTGCCAATGCGACTGAGAGCAACACGACGAGCATCCAAGCCTCTACGCCGACCACGAACAGCACAATGTTCAACGGCACAGGCGAGGCAAATGCTTCGTCCACACTTGCCACAGAATCGACGACTCCTGCGTCGAACCCAAGTACTAGCGTCACTTCCTCCATGGCCACCGCGAGACAGGTGAGGGGCTCGGGCACAGGTTGCCTCCTCGGGTCTTCAAGATCCAGTCGCGTTTGCTTGCAGAGGTCGAGATGTCGACGTCAATCTCGGAGCTTCAGAGCACCACTGTCTTCGAAATTCGACCGGGGCTTCTGCAGCTCGGATGCAGACATAGAGGTGTCCTCTCGGCTGATTCGTACTTTCACACGAGGAAGGGCGAGATCGTCGTGCGAACCTCCCACCCTGGTGGCTTCTTCGCTTCGGAAGAGCTCCAGGAGCTTGTGAGAGCCTTTCTCGAGCACCTCGTCTGAAGCTCGTGTATGATGCCATGTGGCCAACAGATGCGGTGCTGTTGAGGCGCTTGGGCGATGGATTGCTGCAGGCCTGGCGTCCAAGTCCAAGTGCGTGCAAGCGCACTGGCCATAAGCACGGAGCAGAGTGAGAACATGAATGAGTCGCAGCATACCATGTGATATCGATTTTTTCGATTTCGGGGCTTGGAGTCCAGGTCGGACGCAGCCTGTACAACATGCAGTAATTAGGTGAACAAAGACAAAAACTCCGTGCATGGAACATTGCCAAACACCGTTCGGTCTCCTTTCGAGACTGAGAAGGGTGCGACCTTGCCAAGGGCTGCCAAACCAGGGCAAATGAGGGTATGGGCAATGAGAACGCACGGATGACCCTGCATCCAGAGGCGGAAGGTGCCTCGAACAAGGTCTGACAAGAGACGCAGACTGCGCAGCCTTGGTTCAACTTCCCTGTACGAGCGGAAGGGCCCAAGAAGCGTGAGAGACGCAAGCAGTCCGAGACAGGAGAAGAGTGTAACAGAATTAGCAACACTCTGAGCTGTCCACTTGTCAACATCAAGACGTTCAGGAGAATCTGATGCCTCCTTGTGCGAGAGGAATGTCCCAAATCCAGGGTCCTTCTCGGCTACAACACGTCCAATCTGACCAGTGGTGCGAGGTAAGGGGAGATGTACATGGTCAAAGAGGAGCCAAGGCAGCTGGGTGCTGGCGTCCTTAAAAGTGGAGACAGCAAACTTGGGAGCAGCAGGGTCAGGAACAAGCCAATCATTCCATGAGACCCTCTGGATCAGGTCCGCAGCTTTGCTGTGCCAGCTACTCCAATGGACAGACCACTCCTCATCAGAGGAATAGGTCTCCTGGAGTCGTTTCTGCCACTCTTGGGCAGTAGCTCTAAGACGAGAGAGCTGGAGGCAGTGGCAGCTAAAGGCTTTGCGATATGCTTCAAGGACGTCCTGGTAGGACTGACATGTGTCGCTATCATTGCAGAGGAGATCCTCCAGTGCAGTAAGGACCTCAGCAGAAGGCCTGTGTTCCTCGAAGAGCGGCCGATCTGGTTGCCACTGTTGGGTAGGTCCCTGCGCCTGAACAGCAGGCAGCTGTGACTTGGAACCATCCAAAAACTTTTTGCTGCCGACACCCGGGGTGGGTTCGACGACAGTGCCAGCACAGATAAGGGCTGACTTGCATGCAGAGGAGTACCGTACATGATTGCAAAGCTTTTCGGTGCTACGGTAGTGACGCAAGCATACCGGGCATTGCTGGCCCGTGACGAGCTGGCGCTCCTCACGCACGCGTCCATGGACTTTAAACGCGTGGTGCGACCACGAACGTTTGTCAGAAAACACCTGTCCGCACGGTGCACAAATCTCAGGGGAAGCAGCTTCGGCAACGACCTCGTCAAGATAGGCCCCTGCGAGCCGCAACTGTCGGAAAAGCAGGCCATGATACTGTTGGACCTCTGCGGTCCAAAGGGAGTCCAGGCCAGCTATGACCTTGGTCTGTTTTACCAGCCGTTTCCATCGACTGGTCTCTTTTCGCGCTATGTCAGCGGCGGTCGTCCAATCAGACACATCAGGATCGGTCAGGCCAGCTCGCCCGCGCAACGTACCAGCCCAACTGAGCGCTTGCTGCATTTGGCACAGCCAGGATTGCTCAGCGTGTAGTAATGCCCAAAACTCAGCGCACCCCTTAGAGACAACAAGTCGGAAGTGCCGAAGCCTCTCGAGAGCAATACTGGCTTCTGCTGGCAGAATACGCGAGCAGGAGAGCGCGTACAAACCGCTGAGGTGTCTTGCCTGCATGTATGAGAAGCGTGGCCGGAGCATTAGACGTGCCATGCTCATAAGGGTTCCTTGGAACTTGAGCGTTGCAGCTGCATCATAGGCAGGCCAGGCCCCAACACCATAGAACATGGTGGACTCAACGACGGCAGTAAAGAGAACTGACTTATCCCTTATCTGCACAAGCGGGGAGGAGAACACCTGTCGTCGATGTTGGCGAAAGGCAGCCCAAGCGGATCCTATCCTAGAACGAACCTCCTTGCTCGTGCCTCCCCCAGCCTGGACAAGGCCCCCTACGTGTTTATACGTTGAAACCAGGCGTAGCCTGGCATCTGGCCAGATACTGGAGTGCAGGGGCAGATCTGGAGAGCTGCCACGGAAAACTGCAGCTGCTGTCTTCTTAGACCCTGGGCCGTAGAGAGCTATAACGCACTCCGTTTTGCCTTCTGCAAGATTCGGTACCAATGTGGCTTTCATACACTCGTCCAAAGTAGCCGTTGCCACTGCAGTTACCTTATCTAATAACCCTTCAGGTCGAGAATCCGCGACAAGGAGCGCCAAGTCATCCATCCAGGTCACGTCGATCGGCCTGGTAGCCTCATCTGGGCTCAGAGTATCTGCAACAGCGGGGCCAGCGCCCAACCATTGCTCATTCCAGGGCAGCGCACATGAAAGTCCCTCCTTCTGGAAGCGCTGGCGAAGGACTTTCAACAACTCAGCGAAGAGGAAGGAAAAGATGAGGTCCGCTAAGTTGTCTCCGGGACGGGCGCCAGCCTTCACAACCGCGGTCCCTTCAAGGACCCCATGTGCGAACCAGGTGTCACAGTTCGTTTCTTCCACCATGGAAGAAAGCGCGACAGGGCCGCCTGCAGCACGGATGAGCGAGTGGTCCCTTACATAGGCTTGTAGGCGCGGGCCGACCTCGGGGTCGAGGCCAAGCGTGGCTATCACATTATGGATAGATGCCTCATCTGGTTTGCCGCCGTGAACCAATGCTCGGGCCACCCGGTGGAAGGCTTCTTTTAAATCCAGGAAAATAATAGCGCAGCTCATCCTGTTGGCCCGGCATCGCTCCTGCCACAGTCTAGCAGCCTGCAGAACAAACTGGACAGGAAAGCCGGCTCGACCGCCGACTTGCAGTGGTTGGGCGATATTTTCAAAATACCGGCTGCATTGCCGCCTGAGGGCACCATGAACGGCTTTGCCGACTGAACTACTAACTAAAATGGCGCGATAACTTTCGCAGGCCAGGGGGGAACCTTTTCTCTTCCACACTGCGTGGAGGTCCCCCCCTTTCCATTGTATGGGTTCTTGCAAGCGCATTGCAAACTTGAGGACTATGGAATACAGAGACCGAGATAGTCCAGAGGGACAGACACGGAGAAGGTCAGCAGGGACCCTGTCTTTCCCAGCGGCCTTGCCTGGAGTGGACGCACGCAACCCATCCTCAATCTGGCCCCGAGTGAGTAAGTCCTCAGCAGCAAGATCATAATCGGCAAGGTCCCGCGCTCCCTGACGTGCACAACACTGAGCAGTAATGCTCTCAGGAGTCTGGGGCGCTCCAGCCTCGATAGAGCTGAAGTGTCTAATCCAACGGGCTTCAGCCTCTGCGAGGTCTTCAGCAATACTACCATCTTCAAGTTTGATGGCTGGGATAGCCCTACTGCCTTTTACCTTGTGTTTAGGTGGTCCTATCAAGGTCCTTAATTTGCGAAAGGTATCCTTAGAGGTGCATGTGGCTGCAGCTCGTGCAGCTTCATGCGTGAAGCTGCGTTTGTCGTCCTGAATGGAACGGCGGAGCAGTGGCTTAAGGTTGCGGAGGTCGCCAACGCTGCGGCGAAGGTCGGCAATGCTGCGCAGTAGATCGGCCAGAGACAGCAGACCAGCCCACCCAAAAGGGCCTTCACAGCACCAAGCAACCCAAGCAATGCGTATCTCATAGTGAGTAATCCATGCCGAGGCTCTATGGGCCAGCTTGCGCAAGCTGACGCGTTGCTGTCGGAAGGACCACGTGCTCTCTGAAAAGAAAGTCTTACACTTAGTGGCCTGTTGGGCAGGAAAGGCCAGCGCTAGGTGGTCAACCAGGTGCCTGGCAAACAGGTCATAATGTGTGTGAGCATCGATGCACCATGGGACCGCAGGGGCCGTCTTACAAATGGCCTGAACGATGCTGGCATTCTCGGGGGAGTGAAGACAACTGACATCGATCCGAGGGGGTCGGCGCCCCTTCGAACATGAAGCGTGCAGAAGGGCAGAGGCCTCAAGGTAAACAGAATAGTGGTCAAGGCCAGCCTGGCCAAAATCGACATCGTATAGGACTCTCGAAGAGCCGCTGTCAGCCCCCCAAGCTTGGGGCACAATGACATAGTCGATGCGGGAAAGTGCCCCCTGTCCAGGCGAGACCCAGGTATGGGAGAGCCCCCTGTGGCAAGCAGTGAAGGTAGACGGTATCCAGAGTGCATGATGTGCAAGCAGACGGAGGAAGGGGGGTGGAGGACTAGCGCCCTCCTCCCAACACAGATCACCAACACTATCTCCCCAAGGCTCGGTGAGGCGAAGATTAAGATCTCCAAGAATAACGACAGGCAAGTTCCCAGCGTAGCCACGAAGGTCGACAGCAAACTGACCCCACCAGGAATCCCTTAAGGGGTCAGTTGCGGTTGGTGCGTGGCAAACCGCAATCAAGAAACGAAGGCCGCCCCTGATGCATTTAGCAAAGAGGTGCCTAGGCGACCAGCTCAGAACCCTGAAGTCCTCCAAGGAAAAGAACAAGGGTCGACCATGTTGATATGCAAAGGGCACTGTTCGAGAAACCCATAGCTCAACACCGAGACAGCCCTTACTGTTGGCAGCCGAGGTGAACCGAAAATGGGTAGCGGAGACAATGGTTTCAGTAGCTTTGGCACGGGTTTCCTGTAACCCTGTGAGGCAAACACCAACCCACTCGAGTTGCTCCCTGATGTAGGGGACACGCCCTACCAAGCCATTTGCCTTGTCCTCCTCAAGGGTTTGGACGTTGGCAGAGACAAAACTAATTTTTAAACTCAGTTTATCAGCCGGGCTTGCGTCCTTATCAGTCGTGGACCCCCTGATGCCGAGGGCTCTGTTGGGAGCTAGCTGAGTGGGCTTAAGGACGCCAAGGGTGTCTACAAGGGTGCTACCCTGCAGAGCTGGCCACTGATCAGGGTTCCGAGTGGCTTCACAGATTAGCCACATCCATTCAATGGAGCCACTTCTAACCCAATCGGGGAGACTGGAGTAAGGGGCTGGAATGATTGTGTCAGGGATCCAATGACCCTTGGCGAGCACATCGACTAGTTCATTGAAAGGGTCGCCCTGGTGAGCGCGAACATGTTGGAACGCAGAAAAACAGACGTCACGAGTAGCCTCGGCAGCATGGGCAATAGCTCTGCAGGCCCGAGCAAGAAGGGAGGGCGCCGTACCACCCCAGCATCCGCTAGTCTGTCCAACAACGGCCGAGGAGTCAGTCCAGATCCTAGTGCGGCCATCTGCATGTGCAAGCGCCCAGGCAAGGGCCCAAAACAGGGCAGTTCTTTCAGCCTCAAGCGCGGAGTGGACCTGGGCACCTATATAGGCTGGCTCACCCTTCAAGGCGACTGTTCCACGGCACCACCCTTTGAGGCTACGGTGGGGAGGAGCCAGGTCAATGACAGCGAAGGCCCAAGCACTGATCCGACCATTAAAGGAACCATCGGTATAGATTTCAGTACCAACAGTATCAGAAGCGGCTGAGCAGCTGCTATCGGCCAGCGCCCGTACAGTAGCTTGACGCAGGCGAAGTCCATCCGGGAGGGTATGTGGCAAAGGCCATCCACCCTGCAGAAACGGCGCAACATCATCAAACGTTTTGCCAAGACCGAGGGTGACACAGCTGAGATCGTACTGTACCCATCTGGGCAAATGGTCAGCTAGAGAAATGGCAAGTGGAGGAGCAGGACTGGGTGGTGTAAAGTGCTCAATCAATGTCTCTACGAGGGTGCTGGCGAGGAAGAAGGCCTCCCCCGAGATGGCTTCTTCGGTCTGCTCTAGTAGGGTCCTAAGGGCGGGAGATACTGGGTCTTCGCCTCCGTGGCCCGCATCTTCTCCGACACTTAGGTGTCCGAGTACCCTAAGATTACGGCAAGGGGTGGGAACAGGCCTGACAGCACAACCTTGATGACGATCACAGTGCTGCTGCGCCCAAACACTGCCGTAGTCGTCCCTTGCAGTACTTTCGAAGGAGAGTTTGACACCAGGAACCTGAACCGCATAAGCCCTCTGGCAAGCGAAAGAAACAAGGCAAAGAAGCCAAAAAAGGCGAGGCAACCTTGGTATGTCGCCAACGACAAATGTGACACACCGGCCGAGCCCTATGCACAGGAGAATGGTAGCCGAGAGCAGAAAGTTGCCTAAACAACGGACAAGAATCTGCTGAGTCGAAAGGAGTCCTGGGATGTCAGGGGTGGGGCAACCGTTGTCATCAGAAAGACGTCTCAATAATGTGCGATTGCTCCACATGACAGAACTGACAGGAGTGCTTTCAAACTTGTTCTTAGTACCAGGAGTGGAACTGGATGATGGTCCCCCGGAATTCCTGTAACCCGCAGCAGCGGGCTCTGGGGTTGAGGCAGGTTCAGGACCAAAGGAATCTGGCCATCCAGATACGGGCCTCCAGGGCTCATCCTCCTCGCCCCCCCAGCCTGACGGTCCCGGGGAGTCATCAGGCCCAGGACCGAGCTCATCTGTTTCTGCTTGTGTACCCCGGAATGCGAGGGTGACGACATCACCATCCTGAATAAGAAAGGGATCTTGCAAAGGGCAGAAACGGGTCCCCTGCACAATACGGCCAATGCAGTAGCCAGGCGGGCATCTACCTGCGAACCTGGCAATGATTTTATCAGTAAGGAATATGCCCTCCGGACACAGAACCCAATCAAACCCAAGCAGGATGGGCCGTAGATCGAGGATGCAAACAAGTCCGGAATCCTGACGGCTACCACCATTCGAGGCAAGGGAGCGGGCTACAACAACATTTCTTAGGAGGACTCCAAGTTCTGCAAAGTCGGAGACCCCCCCAAATGCCGGGGACAGACGAAGGTCCTGGTTACGAATGCCAAGGCTCTCAGCGATTGCTTGTCGGGCTCTATGTTGCCTATGGGCTGGGACCTGAAGGGGAAAGGGACCGTCAGGGCCTAGAACCCAAGCTATGTCCGACAGGTTCTCGGCTGGCTGGGGGCATACTGCCCACCCATCCCCGGTCTGTAGACGATCTGCCAGGCTATGAACGATATGAATGCCTGCGTTGACTGGCCGAATGACAACCAGGTCACCATCCTCAGGGCTAACTGGACTATCAGCAGGCAAGGGCCATGGGAGATCTCTAAAGAAAACCTCATGGTCGCTATTTTCATCGATACCAGCTAACTTGAGAAAATCATGCCTGTAGCAATTCCCAACAACATGGACAGCGAAGAGCCTATTGTTGATGGCACGGCCATCGATAGCAATGATTGAACCCGGGTGTCGCCAGTGGGGCATGCAAACCACAAGTGCAACCTCAGGGCGCGGTTGAGGGTGTACAGCACACAGGATCGGCATGCGAACCGCAGCGTCAGGGTGGCGTGCGGAGGCAGCGGCGTTAAGGGCACCTGTAATAGTAGCCTCACAAGATAGCCTCACCGAGACCCATTCCTGAGCAAAGTTCGGCTTAAGCAGAAGAAAAGGAACCTCGGCAAAGGCGACTCCAGTCTGTAAACCTTGCCTGTCATGAGAACCGGCGTCGGTGGGTGGGTCAGGAGTTACACCATCTGCCCCTAGCACAGAGTGGGGCTCTGCAGCAGAAGCAGCCGAGGACCCACCCGGATCCCCGCTGGCTGATGGATTACGGTCAGCAGAGCCATGAGAGAGCGCATCAACCGGCCCATCGGCGGCCTCATCAGGCTGCACTTCTTGGATCCGGCCCGCTGGCGGAATAGCCCTGTCGTGCAGTACTTCTACTACAAAGATTTGGCCCGTGCGCACCTCAAGGAGGTCTGTATGCAGTGGCAAATCCCGGAACCACAACCTCCATCCGGAGCCCAACTCCCGAAGGAGATCATCAAGGATATCACGACAGGAGATCTGGCCACGGGGCGCTGGTATAGAACGCCATCCGAGAAACAGGCCCCGGACGTCGATGAGTATCCAAGAAGTGTCAGCATGATTTTGTGGGTCTGCTTCACTGACAATGATGACGGACCGGCAAGGAAAGCCATCGATGGCTGCATTCCAGACTCGAGGTCTGGACGAGAAAATGCACAAGTTGCCATGTTGGATTCCAATAGCATTGGCTATTTGCGCTCTAAACGCCCCATAATGCCCACGCAAATTAACATGGAGAATGTTATCAGTGCCAAAGACAACACAGCATGTGCCATGACACGAGGGCTCAGGAACCCTCGGGGCGCGACCCCAATGCTGGCGGGCAAGCAGGGCGACGTGAAGGGGCGTAGCGCGAGGGTCGGCTGAATCTAGGCATCACAATGATGGTGTCACCGTCGGCAAGGTGACACTGGCTATCCCATTGAAGGTGGTCACCATATGGACCAGCAAACACCGAGTAATTCTCGGCTCTAGGTAGATTGACAATCTCAAGGATGCTAGCTCCTGTAATGTAGGTGGGAACAAGAGCGGAGTAGATCCTACCATCTATGGTCGAGCAGTCGATGCAAACCTGGCTCTTGGATGTAGCAACCGCAACGGACCAGACAGGGCATGCCAAGAGAACCCCATCACCTGACAGTGGTTGAGGGCTAGCTGGGATAAGCCGTGGGAAATTCCGAGCCTGCAGCTGACACCTGGCTACCTGAACAAGCGGCAAAATCTCGGCAACTGTAGCCGGGAGGGTGATATTTACGTCAACCTTCTCAGCAGCAAAACCGGGTACAAGGATGCGGAAGCAGACCCTGAGTGGCAGAGCACCAGCGACCTCCAAGTCAGAGTCAGACGAACCATCACCCTCAATATAAACAGCATTGGTAGGCGTCATGTATCGCCACGGAAGACCAAGTCGGGGAGCGACATATCGAAGGTGCGCGACAACTTCGGCATTGGTACCATCGCGGCTTGGTGGCTCTACTAATATTTTACAGGCAATAGCACCCGGAGCAGAGGAGGGGCCAGGTTCGGTTACGAGGAACTCGCCAGATTCAACAATACCCTGCACAACAGGGTCCCACTGCATCCTGATCTTGTATGCCTCAGTGTGTTGGCACTCAGGTTTACGAGAGCCAGTGCAGACTACTGTGGTGCCAGGGCCAGGTGCAGTGGAAGGCTCCCCACTATTACGTCCCCTGTTTCGTCGCCGAGCTTTGCGGTTGCGCGGTGAACGGCTTCTAATTGCAGGGTGTTCGCCGCGGGCAGACGGGCCAGGCCCGTCACCCCCACTGCTGGTATCAGAGTCTGTCTCGGAATCAGTGCTGTCGCCATCGGCATCAGATCCTTCTGAAGCAGGGCGTCGAGTTCTATCAGCAAAGGAGACAGTAAGGACTGCCCGATCCGGGGCATGCAAAAAGACAACTCCGTGTCTAGTGACCCTCCTGCCACCAACAATCCGAAGCGCAAAGCCCTCCGGGACCTCAATGCGAAGACCTTGCTTGAAGACCTCAAGGTCTGATTCACCTCGGACAAGGATACGCCACTCAAAGCCGCGCAGTACCGGCCTCATATCAAGGAACACGACCGTCAGAGGCGTAGTGATCCGAGCAGGAGGCACAGGAAGGGTTGGGAGACATTCAGTGACAAGGACAACAGCCTTACACAATACTCCCTTGTAGACAGCATCTTCAACCCTGGGCGCAGCTGTTTTAAGAGTGGTACGGTAATGAGCGAACTGCAGGGCATCAGCAGCAAATTCCTGAAAGCCATAGGCAGTGTCGATCTTATGGTAATCGGCATCAATCCCGCGAGAGCCTCCCTCGTGGAGCACCCAGAAGTGTGAGAACGAGGAGGAAAAGGCAAGCGGTGGTTCCTGCTCCCAGCCATCACCATCGAACAGTAAGTCAGCGAGGTCAAGAACAGGTGGGATGGCAGCGCCGTATCCAATTACCTGGATCATATCCCCTTGACGGGGTACAAGGGGCCTGCCTCTAGCGTGCGCAACACCTCGGATGACAACAACAAAATCGTCAGTGTCCGGAAGGTTTGCATGCAACAAGAAGGAGGTCCACTGGATCCACGGGTCGAGAATGAGGCAGTAGAGTCTACCATCGAACGACCTGCTGTCAAGCAGAACGGCAGTGCGCCGTTGTGCCCAAAGTGGAAGGCAGATGAGGCTGGCAAATTCAGCACTAGGCTGAGGATGCACTCTGCATATATGGCTGTAGTGCTCACTGGCCAGGGGCTCGCGAGCAGAACACACAGCGGAGAAAGCATCCTCCCACGAAAGTGGTGCGGGTGAGGAAATCCAAATCATTTCAGGGGTTCTATCCGGGGCGAAAAGTAAGAACCAAATCTTTTCGCGCGCCCTTCCGCCATTATCATTTGCAATCGGCAGATGAGCTGGCTCAAGTGGCCCCGTGGAAATTGCAGCGTAAAAACCCGCAGGGTTATCTGCAGTGACTATAGTGTCTTCGACTCCTGGGGCGTCTGGGGTGGGGGTGTCCCCAGCCGGAGCCTCTGCCCTAGCAGGAGCGGCATCAAATGATCCCAAAACTGTCTGGTTGGAATCTGCAGCACCTCTGAAAGAGACCTCTTGCCAATCCCACGTAAGGTCGTCAAGTGTCTCTCCAGCCCAGGCTCTAGTATGCAGATTGGCAGAGAACCCATCGGGGACTTGTGGATCGACGCATCGAAGAATCGAGGAGGCATCGGCCCAAGCCTGACGCAGGAATGCCCTAATGCCTCTGCCTACCCTGCGCGCGTCAACAAATGTGAAGGCAGCCTCTCGTGGGCCGGAAGCTGCTGGGGCTACCGCGATAATGCCCGCTACACTCCTACCTCTATAGGTAAAGTCTCCCTGAGAGAACCCGCTAGGATCTTTCTGAAAGCAGAGCTGGGAGACGGTACTGCCAATCTGCTCGGCAGCGGCCTCATAAAGGTCATCATCCCTGACATTTGCCTTATCGAGCAAGCATGCACCATCTTCACGAACAACAAGCCACTTGTTCCAAGAGGAACAAGTAGGGAGAGGCGGTTCGGCACGTGTCCAGAGTGGCCATAGGTTGGCGGCCGGAGGACTACACCATGTAGGTCTAGTATCAGGTAATTGGACCTGTACAACTTGCCCAGGTGTCAGCTTATACGGGGTCCCTGCTGCCCATCCGACCGGACAGTTTTGGGTATAAACATTAACCCTAGACCCACTATGCTGAGCAGCGAGGGCTTCAACCTCACTACGGTAGACTAACTGCCAGACTATGTCAGCGAAGAAGGGGCCTCCGATGGCAGTGAGGTCAAAAATGACAACTGAGCGAAGTGACGAAGCAATCCACCTAGGAACCGCAACTAGAGTGAGGATTCCCCAGAAAGCCTGGTGAGACACAGGCAGAAGGTCATGTGGATCCTCAATTAAGGGACTGACCCTACCTTGAACCTGTTCGGTAATGAAGCTGAGGTCCCCTTCGGCCGAAGCAAGCTTAACTATGATGTCCTGTCGACCAGGAATAAGGACACATACCCGTAGGACAGGAGCATCAAGAACCTCTCCGTAGGCTTCGAAGTTCGCTTCGTCCTGGCATCTAGCTACCGAGAGCTGTATAGGCTCTCGAACACCGGCAGGTCTTTCAGGGGGCGGAATGCATTCAACTCTTCGAGAGTCCCCAGCTACATCGGGGAAGTCATCTGGTTGTAAGGCGGTGACGGCATCGTGCACTTGCTGAAGAACTGAAGCTCCCTCTGATGCACCTCTTACAAGTACTGGCAGGGAAAAGAGTCCCAGGACGAGGCGCATGGGAGGACACCCAGACTTAGGCCTCAAACCCGCAGTGGCCTGGTTCTTATGTGCTCGGTGCCTCTTAAGGTCCTTTCGACTAGGAGGGACAGCGGGGCCCGAACATGAAGGGCTGAGTGCGGCAAAAGCCCGAAGCACACAGCAAGGAGCACCTCCAGAAACAGCAGAGAGCGCTTGCCCAAAAGGGGTGTGTCTGCCAGGAAGGCAGAGAACCAACAATCTGAGAAGGGCACAAAAAAGGAGGCATAAGACACCCCTGGCAAACGGGACCACGAACGACGCCAGGATCATCAAGTAGCGAACGCCTGTGCCATGATCATTGTAAGGGCTATGGTTCCCAATGCCATAGCCTGAAGTCCTGTGCAACCCCCCGGCCCATGCCCCAGAGCGACCGATGCATGTGTTGCGCGCACGGGGGGGTACTGCACAAAAGGGTAAGATTTGGCCAGAAAGTGTGCTGGCATGCAAGGCAAGGCATCCCCTTCCCATAACCAAAGGGAAGGGCAACCTTCGCAGAGGAAAAGGGGCAGAAGGAGCCGAACCAACGTCCAAAAGCCAAGGACCGGCCGGCTGCCTTCGCCCAACAGTAAAAAGAAGTCCACCTGAAGGCCCAATCCCAGGGCGAGTGGGAGTCGATATACAGTAAGGACTCAAAGGAGGAGGAAAGGATCCGAAAGGAAAACTGTCTCCGGCCCGCAACCCAGAGCCACCGATTTGCGTGTTTGGCGCCCAGAGACAAGAATATCGAAGCAAAACACCGCGGAGCTGGCAAGCTAAGGAACAGAGTATACCCAAAACTTCTGCCCAAAGCAGAGCTCTCTCCCCTTGAAAGAGGAAAGAGGAGGGGCAAAATGCCTCCGCAACATTCAAGGTCCTGTACAGTTGATTGTGAGACAGGACATCGCCTAAAGGACCTGGGAGAGACACAGCCTTCATAAAGGACACAGCACCGCGGTCGCTGTCTTGACCGAGGGTCGCATGCAAAAAGGAAGTGTCCAGCCACTTCCCAGTTGCGGGGACCTCCAGCCGACAAACGATCCTCAGGCCGGCCTTTGCTAAAGCTGGCCTCTCCCTGATGCTCGTCACTCTAGTCTGCCAAGGCCGGGGGAGGGTGCAGCAGTCTCTAGTTCGTCTTGGTCGTCGTCCACGAAACGAGTTGCAGCTGGATCCACAGGATTGGCGCTGGTAGAGGGAGGAACCCCATTGGCAGCGTCGACCTCGCTCCCGAGGAGCAACTCCTGTCCGCCGGGTTCCAGGATCGGCTTGGTGTTCAGCGGCTTTCCGAATGGATACAAAGCCGTGCGTCTGGCCTCTCTCTTTGCTGAAAGTTTCTCTGAGAGTGCTGCACCAGGTTGGTCGGATGCTTTTCGCGCTGTCTTGGTAGGGGTACGTGCCGGTGTTCTCGCACTTCTGAGCGGGGTATTCGTAGCAAAGAAGTTCACATCCGCCGCAGGGGGGCCTTCCACCGGCCCCAGAGCTGCATGTAGAGCCGGTCCCAGTCCAATAACTGGACTCGACTGGTACGGATCCGTTCCGGCTGGTCCCGGAGAGGTCTGATTGTAGACGGGGGCTGCTGTGGCGGCAGCCGGAGGTGGCTTCGGCACCACAGACCCTCCAGCCAGGCTCTGCAGCTGCTGAGCAGCTTGGAAGGCCTCCTGGTAGAAGCCAGATGGTTCCACCAACATGGCATCGCTCACCAGGGATTCCCACTCCCTGGCATCCTCGTCTGCAGGCCCCTCCTCTGCCCGCGAGGCTTCCGGGCCCCTCAAGATGATGTCCTTCACTCGGGCCGCAGCAGCAGTGCCAACTTCCTCCGCTTGGGAGAGGTCGAGGTCGATCTTCTCGAGGTCTTGCTGGAACTGCCGCTTCTGCTTCACGAAATTGGCACGCTGGTCTTGTACCCACTTGTCCCATTGTCGCTGCTTGCGGGACTTGTCCTCCATAAGTTTTCGAATACGGCCATCTGCCTTGCGTGCTGTAGTGAGGGCCTTCTGTATAGCATTCATCGTAACTAGCTGACCAGTTGCCTCTGCTTGGGGCATTCGCCACGGCCTCTGATCTTGGGCAGCCCCATTCCGGCGATCGTCGTCGATCTGAACCTGGTCGTAGTTCTGGGGAACATCCCTCCTGGCAGCACGCGGCGACACTGCCCATGATCCAGGCCAGTACCGATACTGGTACTGTGCGTCCTCTCTTGCACGTCTGGGCTGCCAGGAATCGTTCTTGGGCCTTGGCCATTGTTTGCCCATGCCCCTTCCACTGGCACCAGAGTGATGCCAATATAAGAGGGCCTCGTCGCGGGCCCTAGGTATCTTACCAGAAAGCTTGGCAGATCTCACACGGTCTCGCGCCCTTGACCTTCGCTGGCGGAGGCGACGATGCCAGCTCGGTGATGGCGTAGCTAGGAGAGGAGTTCGTGCTAATGCACTGGGGCAAACAGTCGATCCGGCTGCTGTTAGCCGGCAATCTGAGCCCTACCATGTGATATAGATAGATACATACATACATACATACATGCATACATATACACACACACCCGTGTATATATATATATGTATGCGCATATAAGCGCGCAAATCGCAGCCTTGCAACAGCGTCCAAGGCAGACGGACTGCAGGCAGGAAGACACTTCTCAAGTGCCACTGCAATGCTACGGTTGTGAAACCGGTATGAGTGCGGGCGACAGGGGGTTCTGCCATGAGAGTCCAGACAACCAAAAACCCACTGAAAAGGATGAGGCCCGTGAGGCACTACACAGGTTGCAGCATCCACCAAACTAAACTTGAGGGAGCTTTGCGAGAGACGTCTTCCCAAGCTTTGGAAAGATGCAGAAAGCGCTCAGAAGTTCAACCGCGGCAGTCCACGGATTCCTGCGGAGCACATGCGGCAGCTGCTGAGGCGATCTCTTTCCAGGCGAGAAGGCGGCGCCTCAGGCGGCGTTTGCAGGAGGCCGAGGAGGAAACCGTCTCCTTCACCGCAGAGGCCCGGTCCGAGTCTCCCCCCTTTTGTTCCCACACATGTTCTTGTTCTTGCCCCCCCCCCCACGTTTTCTTCGAATTCCGCGTCAGGTGGCTGCTGGGCGCAGCCTGGAAGCCGCGGCCAAGCTCCAAGCGCCTCCCGAGGTCGCCGAGGCAGCCCTGGCGGCGGCCGCGGCCGAGGCGCTGTTCGGAGCTGCACTGACAGTCTTGTTTTTTAAGCTTTTGCGAGGTTGGTGCTGCCGAGACCCTCCAGGCAGCCGCGCATCGCAGCCAGACCGTGAGGGGGGGGGGGGGGCCCTCCGCACGGACGCAGGTCCGGTCCGTAATCGTCACGGAGATCCTTGAAGTGCAAAGCGAGGGCTCGCAGCCCCCTCCAGTTGCAGCAGATGGGACCTGGCTCGGGATTGTCGCAGTCTTGCTTGCAGGCAGCTTTGGACGGTTTCCGACTTGCACGTTTTGCCCAGTCTCAAGTGTCATTGTGAATCCATTTCTGCTGTGCTTGCCGTGTTTCAGCCTTTTGGCATGCAGGGGCCCTGGTGATCGCAGCCGCTGTCGTGGGTATGTGGTGCTTCTTCAAGCGAGGAAGAAACAAGAAATATGCCGCAGGCCAAGGCGCGGCAACTGATCGAGCACATGCGGGACACGATTCCGAGGTAGTCGGGTTCTTGAATGTGAGGCGCACCTTTCGAAAGCTTTTCTTCTTCGGCACTGCTAATTAATCCTAGATTTTTGTCTACTCTGGCCGCCAAGGGTTGTTTGGCACATGGTAGAAGCCGCTGTTGTCCGATCGATTCTGGCATTTTGTTCTTTCTGTGAGCACCCGCTTGAATATGCAAACGCCTGGTCAACTCGCACAGCTGATGCTCAGGCTTATGTGACCCGTCGTGCAGCCGTTGCAAGGTCAGACGCAGCTGATGCTCGTGATGCTCCCTTTGTTTGGATGGCCCGATCGCGATCCGGGCGAAGACTGGCGCACCTCATGCTCATGTTGCATGCGCGTGAGTAGGGCTGCGTGGCTAAATCGCAGCGCAAAAAACAGGCGGGCATGCTCGGGCTACAGTAGGTGGCCCGATGGCAAGACGGCACAGCCCCTTCGGTCCTCGGGTTGGGTTGGCTGGCTCGATCGCACCGCAAAAGCCTGCAGAGATGGTCGGGTCGGGTTTAGCCAGTACTCTCGTAAACACATTTGCGGCTGATGCTATTGCGAACGGGCCACCCAACCCGAGCATCACGGCCATCAGCTGCAGTTGTCCTCGGCAAAGGCTTGGCGACGAGCCACCCAACTCCAGCATCACAAGCATCAGCTGCGCCAGTGTTTGCCTCGATTGCGAAAGGGCACTCAACAAAAAGCATAACCGAGGCAAAACCCAGCCGTCAGCTGCGCTTGTTCTTTGAAAGGCTTTGGCGACCGTCCACCCAACTCGAGCATCATGAGTAATGAGCATCAGCTGTGCTTGTCCTTTGCAAAAAGATGTGGTGACGTACCGCCCGACTGGCGCATCATGAATGAGCTGCACCTGCCTCGATTGGGAACGGGCCACCAGCCCTAGCATCACAAGCATCAGCTGCGCCAGTTTTTGCCTGACTTGCGATGGAGCGGCAACTGGCGCAGCTAATGTTTACGATGCCCCAGTTGCATGGCTCGTCGCCGAACCTTTGCAAAGAACGAGAGCAGCTGATGCTGTTGATGCTCGGGCTGGCTGGTCCCATCACAATCGATCGAGGCAACAGCAGTCGCACCTGATGCTCGTGATGCTTGGGCTCGGCGGCCCAATCGCAATCAATCGAGGCAACAACTGGCGCAGCTGATAGTGATGCTCGGGCTGGATGGCGTGTTTTTAATTGAAGCAAAAACTGGCGCAGCTGATGCTCATGATGCTCGAGTTGGGCGGCTCGTCGCTGAAGAATTGCAAAGAGCAGGCGCAGCAGAATGTTTTCTCGGGCTGGGTGGCTTGTATTCACTTGAAGCAAAACCTGGTGCAGCTGATGCTCATGATGCTCGTGCTAGTGGCTCGTCGCCGAATCTTTGCAAAGGACAAGCGCAGCTGATGCTCGTGATGCCCGGGCTCGGTGGCTTGCGCGCAATCGAAGCAGAACTGGTGCAGCTGATGCTCATGATGCTCGAGTTGCGTGGCTCGTCCCCGAACCTTTGCAAAGAAGAAGAACAGCTGATGCTGCTGATGCTCGGGCCAATTGGCCGAACCTTCGCAAAGGCCAAGTGCCCTTCGCAAACAATCGAGGCAGCAACCTGCGCAGCTGATGCTCATGATGCTCGAGTTGGGCGGCTCAGCTGGTGCTCGTGATGCTTGGGCTGGGTTGCCAGATCGCAACCAATCCCTGTGATGCCCAAATTGATTGCAACAGACAAGCGCTGGGTGGCTTGGTTTCAATTGAAGCAAAAACTGGCGCAGCTGATGCTCATGATGCTCGAGTTGGGCCGCTCGTCGCCGAACCTTTGCAAAGACCAAGCACAGCTGACTGGCGCTGCGAATGCTCATGACGCTTGCGTGTCTGGTCATTCCTTTGCACGGACGGCTTGGGTGGCCGCACTGTCCGAAAAGGCGGGGTTCTCGTGATGTTTGGGTTGGGGCGGAGCTGGTGCTCACTCAGCGCAGTTGGGCGCACTCAATCTGTGACACTACATTCCGCATCTTCCAGCTGTCGCTACAGGTTCGGTGACTCTCTCGTGATTCGTCTGCATTGACAGCGTGCGCCATGCTTTGTCGAGAGCAGCAAACATGACGTAGCCCAGCCCCACCGGAAGAAGCAGCCCGGAACGTTGTCAGTGATGGGACACCTCGTAGATGCGCTTCATATCTTGCCTAATTAGACCGGGCCTAGACCATTGCGACACGGTGGCCGACACACCAGGTTGTCTGGTGCAAAAGTTCTCTGACAGCTGGAAACCTCGTTTCGCGTTGCACGCCAGCTGCCTCAAGCTTGCAGCAAAGTCTCAGAATAAGCGATCGCCCAAGCAGACAAGAGACAAGAGAAGGGACGAGGGAGGAGCATCAAAAAAAGAGCCTGCGGCCAGGGACCGCAGATCCATCGGGCCAGGTGCACTCAGAAGCCCGGAGCTTTTTCAACATTAATGCGTCTTGGTTGCCCCCCTGGCCCTAGCTGCCGCTTTCCCAGGCACCGCCCGCGAGCCTTCCGGACTTGTCAGGAGAGGGGTGGCCATGAGACACGACTCAGTTATCGAGTGCCTGCATGAGGACCAAACGATCTTCACAAATCGCGGTCCAGCAACATGATTACCTCCCACCTCTGAAACATGCCTACCGCTGCGTTACGCAGGTTTGGGAAACTGTCAGGCTTCGGCAGGCTAGTGCGCAAGAGTCGCCCCGCCCTTCCGGCAGTCCCTTATGTCTAGGTTTCAGAGATTGTCGAGCTTGTGTAGAATTCCGTTGAAGAGTGTCTCACCCCAAAAGGGGTGGGGCAGGGCTTCGACTGAAAGTGGGCACCAACAGGAATGGCCTGTGGAAAGAGGCACGAGTACTGCTGAGGCAATCGATGAAGTGTCGCAGTCAGTCTTGAAGCTTCTACCCGGCTCAATATCAGCTTCCACACATGAAGGTGCTGCCAACCAACATGCGTGTGTTGCAGGGCTTTCCTTGAAGATGAATGTAGATCCTCACTAGGACTTAGGAGACTGGTTTCGCCCCACATGTTGAGGCTGGGCCTTTAATGCTGAGACAGTTGCGGCACCACTGCCATGGCCGTCGCCAAGATCCTAGCCGCTTCCAACCCCTTTGCGCGCCTGCAGCTCGAGCTGGAAGCTGTAGACGTGGCTATCGTTCGAAGCCAGTACAGACGACTAGCTTTGGCAGTGCATCCGGACAAATGCAAGGACTCAGCTACTGCAAGAGGCAAAGACAAGAACACAAGATGTAAGAAGATGTAATTGATGTAGTGGAGACCTCCTGCTGACAGGAGCCCAAAGCCAAAGAGGCCTTCCAAGCCCTCAGCGAGGCCTTCGAGCGGCTCTCTTCCGCTGTTGGCCAGGCGCAGTGCTTGAGGGAGGCGGGTGCCAAAGCCGCCAAAGTGAGCAAAAGGGGTTCTCCGGGCCCGGAGCCGCCGGAAGCCGGTGGCGCCCCGTCGGCGGAGGATCGGAAGGCCCGCTGGTGGGATACGAAGACCTGGGAGGAGTTCGAAGAGCGGCTGCGGCACAGGGAGCGCGCCGAAGCAGCCCTGCGGCTCCGGTACTGCAGCGGCTTGCGGCTGCGGTTTTCCACGAAGAAGATGCGGGAGCATGTCCGTGCTGCCGAGCGGTCGGCGGAGCACCTGGACCGGAACATGGGATTGGCGGAGAGCTTTCTTTGGCCGCCGGAGTCCACGCAAACCGCGCGAGACTTGGAAGAGGAGGTCGCGAAGGCGCGGCAGACCGAGCCCTGGCCGGGGGCGGCCAACGAGCTTTTGCCCGACTACAACGAGCGTCCGGAGCTGAATGACCCTCAGATGGCCCTGCAGAGGCTCCTGGAGCTGCTGACGCACCTGCGCGCCGTGCACCGCTACTGCCTGTTCTGCGGATGCACCTACGACTCAACCGAGGATATGGAAGAGAATTGCCCCGGCGTCACTGAAGAGGAGCATGAGGAAGCCAGCTCTGCTGGACTCAGAAGTTCACAGAAGAGCACAGCAGCCCAGCCAGAAGAGCCAGAGGACGAAGAAGAGGATCCGCTAGAAGCTTACATGGTCTCTGTGGAGGCCGAGGCAGAGCGACAGAAGAAGGGAAAGCGCAAGAGACCTCGCTGAGCTCAGAAAAAGGCAAGCCGTTGCGCCGGCACTAGGACCTGGGATGCAACACAGGTCTCATGTGACAGGTCCGTTCCTGGTGTTGCGCCTTCTTACACTTGGTTAGACTGCAGCTTGCGAGAAGGGCTCAGATGGGGCACAAACCTGCATCAAAACACATGCACATGAAGAGCATGTCGCGCTGTAGGAGGGAGATTCTTTTTCCAGCGACTTGCGGGACAGAACAGTTTCGCTTTGCCCATGGCAATGGCACGTTGGGCCTTCATCCTCGGTTGTGCTATTTGTCCGGCCGATGCAGACTGGGCACCTGGGGGAACCGGGCGGATGTTAGCACTGTGACGGTTTGTAGTCCTGCGCATCGGCGCAGAGCATGAGAAAGTCTGCAGAGTTTCGCCGGAGGCGCTGCTGAATTTGATTCGTCATGCGGAGCGATATGCAGACAAGTCGATCACCTACTTGGCGCCCGACGGCAAGGACCGTGCCCAGTACATCGCCCGTTGTGCTACAGAGCCTCGCCGAAAAAGAGCAGCTTTCTTGTGCAGACAGGTTGTTGTAGCACTCGATTCCTGCTTGTGCCCCAGGGAAAGGCGCCAACTTTGATGTTCCCACGGCCGCCCTCGGCTCTGTTGGCAGGGAGAAGGCAAGAAGTCACGGGGCACAACTCCACACGGCCTTGGGAGACTTTGCACCCCTTGGCAATGACGCTTGGCAGTGACAGGGATGCGCGTCTGCTCTGTGCGTCTGACGTTTCCTGACGCTGATCTCTGGCATTGCTGGAGGAAGTCCGGACTTCGACTTGACAATCACGTGGCTTGGCTGGAATCTGCACGCGCAAACTGTGGCAGTCTAAACTTAGCCTGACGTAACGAGGTCGACTTCCAGGATGTCTCGGGCTTCGAGGCCTACTTGAAGACCCTTCCGAGCGGAAGCAGCGTCTTGGTTGCCTGGGAGCACAAGATGATGGGGGAGCTGGCCAGGGCTGTGGATCCACAGGGCCTCGCACCTTCAAAGTACCCGGAGCATTGCGACTCAGAGTGGAGAGAGCCTGAGTATACCATGGGTGCCTGCTACGACGTGATCTGGCAGTTCGTCTTGTATCGCAGCCATTCCGGAGAGAGCTGGCGGGCCAAAGCCTTTTCTCATCTGCACATGGGCTTTGCGGGTAAAGGCTCCAAATGCTCCGAAGCTTTCGAGCCCTTCTCCAATCCCAGCAGCTGGCCTCAGCTCATTCAGGAAGGCGCTTCGGTTGTTTCGGTTACACCTGGGATGATCCCAGCCTGTGCCCTTGGCTTCTGCTCCCTCCTCTTCCTCGTGCTTGGTCGCCTACACGCACTTCTCCCCGACACCCAAAGTACCCGTCTTGGGGGAAAGGAGCCGCTCCTGGAGAGCCCTGAGACTTACATCCTGGTCTGCTGATGCCAAGAGTGATCTCCCCCTCGTACCTTCAGCCGATATATAGGTCAATATAGGTATGGATCTTCCTTGAAAGGAAGGCTCGTACCATATTGCAACAAGTGACTCGCATGGAGGATGCAAGAGGCCCAATTGTACAGCCAATCTTCCGATGCCTCACAGTGCTTCCGAGCGGAGCCCGCTTTGTGCCTGAGAATCAGGAAGCGGAGGCTCACAGCATCTCAGAGCCGATTCCCTGGCCTTTGATTCCAGGGGCTTTCGAGGCCCGCGCATTTCAGGTGCCGCAAGGAATCGTGAGAAAAAAAAGCCTTTCCCTCCCTGCCAGGCCCTTGATCATCTAGTGGCCACCGGAAATGCGCCGCGGCCGCGGCGTGCCGTGCACTTGTTGCGATCGTGACGGCTGAAGGAAGAAAAAAGCAAGCTGCCCATGCTGGAATCCAGTCTGGAAGCCCAGGCATGGTGTTCGAAGGAAAGTGCGGTAGGTATGTTCGGCGCGACTTGCTGGGCGGGCGTGGAACTGAGTGGGGCGTCTTCAAGGACAACTCAAAGGGATAAGCCTGGGAGAAGGCCGTAACACCTCTAGCGGTCTGGTTCCAGATCTGCAGGCTGAACCTACACGGAAGTCTTACCGGGGCTTCCGTATCGGGTCACCTTATGCATCAAGCCCCTCATCTTAGAATATTGCTACAGATATCATTTAGTTTGGCGCCTAGGTCTGCAGCTTTGCAGTGTCAGCAGATAGGAAACAGCAACTTGGATGGCCTTCCAGAGTTCTCACTTCAAATCCGCTGGCCGGTTGCTCCCGTGTTAAGTTCTCCTCGAGAAATTTTTGGGTCTACTTCAGGTCCTTAGACCAAGGGGGTTTAAGACATAAGGGACGAGGAGCGGAGAGAAATAACCCAGACCGAAGGCTCCTATGGACAGCCTGGTTAAGTGGGGAACCTCAGACTGGCTTGTGCAGTTGGCAAGGCAGATTTTGCAGCATGTGTTGGCCTTCCTGTGACTGTGACAGCCCTCGCCGGCCTCAGCAATTTGCATAACAGCCCCTTTTTAGAGCATAGATTTCGAGCGCCGAGACAGGGATGTGGGCCATGCGTATCCTCTTCCTCGGACTGGTCCTTGTGCCCGGATGGTGTTTCCGTCGCTTCAGCAACCGATTTGAGCTCCATGCAGCTGTTCGCCGCTGGGACAGCCTTGCAGGGAGAGCTGAGGTTGAGTCGGTCTACGGAAGGATTGAAGACTGGGATGTCTCCGCAGTGAAGGACATGTATGGCCTCTTCAGGAGTATGAAGGACTTCAATGCAGACATAGGCTCCTGGAACACTTCGGCCGTCACGGACATGAGCTACATGTTTCATCGTGCGGAGGCCTTCAATGCTGACATCGGCTCCTGGGACACTTCGGCCGTCAGGGACATGAAGTACATGTTTAGTGGTGCGAGGTACGACATTATGGCCTTTAACCAGGCCATTGGCTCATGGAACACTTCAGGCCGTCAGGGACATGAGCTACATGTTCTATGAAGCGGATGCCTTCAATGCAGACATCGGCTCTTGGGACACGTCGAAAGTCACGAACATGAGAGGCATGTTTTATGATGCAGAGGCCTTCAACCAGGCCATTGGCTCATGGAACACTTCGGCCGTCAGGGACATGAGCTACATGTTCTATGAAGTGGAGGCCTTCAACGCAGACATCGGCTGCTGGGACACGTCGGCCGTCACGAACATGAGAGGCATGTTTCATTATGCAGAGGCCTTCAACCAGGCCATTGGCCCCTGGAGCACTTCGGCCGTCACGGACATGAACTGCATGTTTTTTGGTAGTAAGTCCTTCAACCAGGCCATCGGCACCTGGGACACTTCGGCAGTCACGGACATGAACGGCATGTTTGGTGCCACGGAGGCCTTTAACCAGGACATCGGCTGCTGGAACACTTCGGCCGTCAGAGACATGAGTGGGATGTTTTCTTATGCAGAGGCCTTCAACCAGGCCATTGGCTCATGGAACACTTCGGCCGTCAGGGACATGAGCTACATGTTTTCTAGGGGGGGGCCTTCAATCAGGCCGTCGGCTCCTGGAACACTTCGGCCGTCAGGGACATGAGCGGGATGTTTTATAGTTTGCCAGGCTTCAACCAGGACATTAGCGGCTGGAACACTTCGGCCGTCAGGGACATGAAGTTCATGTTTTCCCATGCGAAGGCCTTCAATGCAGACATCGGCTCC